GGATGTATCCTACTGACTTCAGTGATTCCCTGACCTTCTGGTCAATGTTTTTATCTATCCTGTGAAATGCAGTATCATGCCCTCATGTTCCTAGCTTGCTAGCATATTAGCTCTCCAGATGCAGCGGTTCACCAGCTAGCCCAGTGGATAGTCTGTGTATCACTCAGCCTCTAGCGCATATATGTCAAACTCAGGCCTGCGGTGTAACTATTTGGCCCGCAAGATAATTTCAAATGTCTATTAGAGCTGGCCCGCCAGTATATATCACATGCACCGCTAATACGAAGGTGAAGCCCTTCTTATCGCCTGCAGATTTAGAAAAAGCTATCCATGCTCCATCACCTCGCAACTTGACTACTGCAATGCCTTCTATGTTGGAATCTCTGTCTCTTCTCCGGAAGCTTCAACTGATCCAGAACACTGCAGCTCGACTGTTGTCGAACACCCCCAGGTACACCCACATCACCCTTGTTCTTCTCTCACTACACTGGTTGCCAGAACAGTTTAGAGTTGACTTCAAGGTGCTACTATTTGTATTTAAGTTTATGAATGGCCTCGCTCCTCCATACCTGTTGGATCGTCTGTCTATTTATGCTCCACGTAGAGCTCTGCGCTCCTCAGAGCATCTGTCCTTGGTTGTCCTACGGTCTCAGTACAAAAACTGGGGTGATCATTCTTTTGCTGTGCATGGCCCCAGACTCTGGAATTCTCTACCCCTAGAGCTACGGTTCATAACCGAGCAGGGGGCTTTTAAGTCAACTCTAAAAACCCACCTTTTTAGACAGGTTTTTGGTGCTTAACCTGCCTTAGTTGCTCCGAAGGGACGTCTTTTAACTTGTTGTTTTATGCTACTTGTATCCTAATATGGAAGCTTTTTACTGCCTGTTAGGTATTTTTAGTCAGATAGATATTGGTTAGATACTTGTTGTATTAGGAATGTTTAGAGTAGACAGGGTGTCTAGCTTGGGCTGTTAAATGCTTAGTCATTCTCATGAGTGGCTGCAGGATGCTTATGGTCAAGGATAACTAGATAGAAAAGTTTATGACTGTCAGCAGACAGGATGTTTAATATTATTATTATGACGTGTATAACTGTAGCCTTAGCCATAATATGTTCTTATGTTTAATATCACGACATGTTACTAGAGGTCGTGTGAGAATGTTTTTAGCTACACACCACTTAATCAACAGACACACACACA